CACGACCTCACCTCCTGAATGCTGAGTAGCACACCCACCTACAGCTGGGAATAGTGATGTGGAGGTAGTGATGTGGAGGAGGTATGGTGTGTGTGTGTGTGTGAAGTGTGGAGAAGGTATGGTGTGTGTGTAGTGTGGCGGTGTTGTGGTGTGGATGAAGTGGGGTGTGGAGGAGTTGAGATTTGGAGCTGTGGTGTGGAAGAATTGTGGTGGTGTGGAGGCGGTGTGGTGTGGAGGAGGTGTTGTGTGGAGGCGGTGTGGAAGAGGTGTGGTTGTGTGGGTGGAGTGTGGGGAAGGTGTGGTGGGAGGAGTACGGAAGAAGGGTTATACTAAGAACAGGGAATAAGGAAGGTAGGAAAGAATAAATAAGAAGGAAGGTGCCCAGGAAAGTAAGTAGGAAGGGAGAGAATGATGGATGGAGGGAAGGAATGAGGGAAGAAGAAAGGCAAGGGACGGCGGGTGGATATAGCTAGTGGAGAGGTTCATAAATACTCAATTAAACTTAATATAAGACGAATTACAACCGCTATTACATGTTATTACACGCCTGACTTACCATAAAATACCATTATACTCACCATCCTTTCTTGCCCCGTAACTCATGATGTAAGTAACAGGAACATTCAAGCGTAGCCAACTGCGTATACATTTGTCACTCAACTCTCCAGAATATTGACCGTCTTGGCACGCGATCTGTACGTGGTAGTCAACGCTGGATCCGGGAGCTAAATAATGCATGACGGTACCGCTACGATCTTAACACAGGATCACGGCGGGTGCATGATTTATCACAGGAGGTTTTGTGGTTACAGACTGGAGGTGATCAGTAAAATAAACTTTAGTTTTTTTTACGATTTATTCTTCCGTATAGTGTGTGTGTGTGTGTGTGTGTGTGTGTGTGTGTGTGTGTGTGTGTGTGTGTGTGTGTGTGTGTGTGTGTGTGTTTCAACTTTTTTACTTCAAAATAATAATTATATCCTTTTAAACTATTCTACGATGATTACAACGAATTTATTTAACCCAACATTTCCACGATAATACAATTCCTCTGATATACTCGTTCACGTATTACTTAAGTCTCCCACAAAGACTCGAAAAAATAAATCCAATTCTCTCCCCCACTTCACACGAACACCCAAGACGAACTTGTTACTCTTCAGCCAATAATTATAATTAACTCTCTTGGGCTTCCTGGGGTCGACGGGGAGTTATGTTCCAACGTTTTAGCTCAAGATGCCAAGTTCCTTCCCGTGCTAAAAACCTGAGGAGTTTGTCGAGTGAAGGTGTACTGTATGGTGAGAAGGAAGGGGTGAGAGGTTGTTGTGGGTGGTTGTATGGATGAGAAGGAAGGAGAGAGGAAGAGGAAGGGAAGAGAGGGGGAGGTGTATTGTTGAGGGTGGGTGTATGACGAAAGGTTGATGGGTAATCCAAACACTTTATACTATTTTCCATACAACCAACTGTTAGTAAATAAATGTTACCAAATCCAGAAACTAAGACACAAACGTCAATATTGATTAGCGAAGTAAAATAAAACAATATTGATAAACTCTAAAAGAATAGGACCCATATAGCAACTTTGCACGATATTATACAATTAAACTGTAATGCAGCTATTAGTGTCGTTTATTATCACAGGCCCCTCGGATGTCTAATAGAATGTAAACAATGAAATAAATACCCATATTTATCAATTTTCTGACCTTATTAAATACAGGGTAGGTTTTCGACGTGTTCTGGGTCGTAACTTAGCTATTTATGGTCTAAGACTGATTTTTTCTCACACACCGGATTTGTGGTGTATAGCAGTATTACATTGAAGAAGTAGAAGTACTACTACTATTATTTCTACTACTACTACTTCTACTATTACTACTACTCCTACTACTAATACTATTTTTTTACGTGGCCTCCAGCCTCCCCCAATAGTCTCACCTTCGCCACCATTTTATTACACTACTACTACTACTACGTAAAGACTACTGGACCTACACCATGCACGAAAATACATACAAACACAGACATCAATATACCAGTATGCTGAATATCAAACAACACTCCTGGTAAGAAATCGAACGAAAAAGAAGAAAAAATTAAGAAAGGGTTAATGTAATCTAACTCTGACAGGTCTCGTAAAATGTAATTAGATGCCAGAGGAGGCACTACAGCTCTCCTGATTACCTTTTACCTGACAAAAGTGAGATTATATTAACTCATTAACCCTCGGACGATATCCAACAACTCTAGCGTTTAATTATTCAGGACTTAAGGATGCTGCCGCTACCCATCAGAGAGTGAGAGAGAGCTGTCCATTATACAGCCTATATATAGATGGATGTTTGGTGGCTATTATGGTGTACAGGTGTGGCTATTATGGTGTACATGTGTGGCTATTATGGTGTACAGGTGTGGCTATTATGGTGTACAGGTGTGGCTATTATGGTGTACAGGTGTGGCTATTATGGTGTTCAAGTGTGGCTGTTATGGTGTACATGTGTGGCTATTATGGTGTAGATGTGTGGCTATTATGGTGTACAGGTGTGGCTATTATGGTGTACAGGTGTGGCTATTATGGTGTACAGGTGTGGCTATTATGGTGTACAGGTGTGGCTATTATGGTGTACAGGTGTGGCTATTATGGTGTACAGGTGTGGCTATTATGGTGTACAGGTGTGGCTATTATGGTGTACATGTGTGGCTATTATGGTGTACATGTGTGGTTATTGTGGTGTACATGTGTGGTTATTGTGGTGTACATTTATTCATGAGTACATTTTTACACAGTGACGAGTACGAACAATATCCATATCCAGGAAGTGTTATCTTACAGAGTACTTTTCACCCTATTATTGAATGTATTACAGGTTGTATTATTACAGAGTACACTTTTATTATTACAGACACAAAACAATAGTTTTATTGTTTACATAATCTTACTCTGTACCTACACCTATGACTGTACCTGCCCTTGTAACTGTATCAGTAAGTACACCTCTATGTTATAACCTGTCAATGCATATATAACTACACCTGTATCTACACTTACACCTGTATTTTCACCTGTAAATGCACTTAAATTTACACCTGTTTATGCACCTGTAACTGTACCTGTAAACACTACCTCAATTTTATCAAGCATTGCTATTCAAATTACACTACAGAGGGTACCCGGAAAAACGTGTTTATCTTAGAGTCTGGGGTCGCGGCGGCATATATCACAACGAGTAATGAACTCCCCAAGCTGAGGCGTCCTGATAGAATTTTCGCCCGAATGTCCTGCATGGTTTAGTTGGTTCTTGCCCCGAGAGGCAGCCGTAGTGGAGAAAAAAAAGGTACACTTGACGCTTAATGAGGCGAAAGGAATTAGGAGGGAAAACAGAAGATAGTAATGATATCTTACTAAGTTATATTGAAGATAACGTACAATATATGGTGATCCGTTTATTATACAACTGAGTTATATAAAGTGTACTTATGATGTATGTGAATATTCATATATTAAATTAGCTTAAAATATTATTGTATTATTATGTATATATAATATTTGTTCATCATTTACTATTTTGGTAGGTTCAAAGCACCGGGGCTGGAATTATTATATTCGTGATAACTTATTTGGCATTAACTCTATTATTATTATTATTATTATTATTATTATTATTATTATTATTATTATTATTATTATTATTATTATTATTATTATTATTATTATTAGGATATTTAATATTAAAGTAATAAAAAGGTGGCGAAGGTATGGCTATTGGGGGAGGCTGGAGGCCACTAAAAAACAAAGTAGTAGTAGTAGTAGTACTGCGTTCTATAGTAGTGAGCTGCACAGCCTACAGTTTAAGAAAGGGGGGGGGGTAAGTGATATGTTGTGACATGCAATCTAGTGAAGTAACGGAGATAAAGGTCTTCTCACCCTAGTTTATAACATGATCTCTCTCTCTCTCTCTCTCTCTCTCTCTCTAGATTTATTGTGGTTAGCGGAAGTGTGTGTGTGTGTGTGTGTGTGTGTGTGGTGGGTTATGGTGGAGCCTCTGGAGATGTATGCCACTTACCGAGGGGCTGGTGGTGTGAGTATTGTGCGTAATTGAATGAAATATATCATCAGATGACACTATTGTCGAGTCGAGTCGGAGAGTGGTAGTACCGGAGTGATCTTAGGATGGGTAATGGTGTCTTGAGGTTGGTAATGTTGGGTGTGGATGGTGTATGGTGGGTGAATGGTGCAGTGGGGACAAATGTGGAGGGTGAAACTTAGCTATGGTATTGCATGGTGGATGTATGGTGGAAGGAAGGAGTGTGGGTAAGTATGAAGGGTGTCACCTTGGTTATGGTAAGTGGATGATAGTAGGGTGAGTATGGAGCATGTACCTCGGCTATGGTAATGTATGGTGAATGTATGATGAACGATAGTGGGAGAAGGTGGTGTGTGGGTAAATATGAAAGGTGTATCTTGGCTATGGTAATGTATGGTTGGTGTATGGTGGAGGATGGTGGAGTATGGTGGAGGATGGTGGGGTGCGTATGGAGGGTGTACTTGGGGTAGGGTTCCGTTTTCTGTGAGCTGGCTGGTGCTACTACCCCCGAGCAGCCGGCCCACAGGGAGGGGAGGTTAGGGGCCGAGTGCACACACCCTCTTCGCTACTATCACGCCCGCGCCGCCCACGCCCAAGTAAGTACACCTACACCAACCTTAAGGTCCGTCTAAGGTGTCCAGGCAACTCCTGAGTGCGTCCAGGGGACTGTGAAAGGTGAGAGGAACGTGAAAGTGAGTGTGAGAATATGGGTGTATGGGAGATACTACCCGCCGCCACCACCACCACCACCGACACCCGACGGGCTTGGGCCTACTCGGCATCGAGCGAGGGAAGGAGAAGTGCCATTCAGAGAGAGAGAGAGAGGGAGTGTGAGAGAGGTGTGGAGAGAGAGAGTGTGTGAGAGAGAAGGAGAGAGCGCAGCCGAGGCACCGCCGAGCCGGCCGCCCCGACCCGAGGCACAGTGCCACACGAAGCAACTATTGATTACCTTTGCTATTGATCTTTTCCTGGGGTAAATTGTGAGAGAGGTTGGTGGGGCGGTAGTAGAGTGTGGGCTGGCACTCTGAGGCGACCGCTGCCACTGCCGCCTCCACCACCGCCACGCACTCTCACTCAGTGCCACCCAGATATTGATCCATTGATTTTCCTGCCCTGGCACCGTCTATTTTATTTTCACATCATGCAGTTCTCAGTCCGCGCCGACCCACCGCCAAGCCCGCCACCAGCCCGGCGCGTACATACTTAAACTCGGCGTGACACGACCGTAGATTTGTGTCGCTAAATTGATCGAGAGTCCGGGTGTTGAAACAACATGAGTGCCGTTGATAAGTTCCCCCTGGTGGAGTGACGGGTCCGGGAACTCTCTCGCTCGCTCCTGCGTCGCCACTCAATATGTTGCAATACTTAGATTTAGTTGTAACTCAGTATTATTATCACTGTACTCTGTAAAGTGTGTGGACTCCAGCGCAGGGATCACGTGTGTATACCGTCTACCAAGTTACCTTCAACCCTAGTTTTAAAAATGTAAATTTTTTGCTCCTCAATATGTGATATTAGTGAGTCTCTTTTTTAATATTATATATATACCGGTATATATATAAGTATATATATATATACCAGTGAAAGTTAGTGTGTGTGTTTTAGAAAAAAAAATAAATGAAATATCTAGAAAACACGAGTGCAATAGTGATGTACGCGAGAGTTTTCATCTGGTAAAAAAGTGCGTTTTTTTTTTTAATGTGTGCGTAATACAGTGCCGGCACAAGATGTAACCGTCCCTCCGCCTCCCGTAACTGGCTTTCACCCATGTTTCCGTTTTTGATTCCCCACATGTAAGTATACGTGTGCGTGGGGCTGTGGTGTGTGGAGCAGGTGTCTGGCTTTGTTTATATGTTGCTCAAGTGGCGTGTTTGTGTTTGTCCTTGTGCTGAAGTCGGCGGCTATGGCCTCGTGCTTGTATTGAAATACAGTAGTGTGTACTGTACATATGCTGAAATGGCGTTTCTATGTTTTGTCTACGTGCTGAAACTGTGTGTAGGGGCTTCGATATAATCTAAAACTATATTTAAATTTGTATTTTCAGTCTTGTGTTCTGTTTTGTGCACGTCCTGAAGTTTGCTGTTTCACGCATATATCCCAGTCTATCGTTGCTACTATGCATGCACACAGGAATGATGTGTGCAGTTTTACAACATTTTTTTTATAATTTTACGTACAGTTTTCCATGCATTTCATTCGCTTGAGTGTGACTGTGCATGCGTAGCGAGGGTGCAGGACTTGGTGAGTTGTGTGCTACATCTTTGCGTAACCGTGTGAGCGTGTGTGAACCGGGAGGGAGGGAAGGAGGGGTGTGTGGGAGGTCAGGCAGAGTACGAGCTGTCGTGTTTACAAGTAGGCCTACCTGTGTAGTAGTGTTAATAGCCAGTGTGGTGAGTCTTAACGAGGGATGATATTGATAGAGTTGTCAATATCATGATCCCCGTGGGTCTATATATAGTGCTGTACCTTCCGTATTTACCGTACTATAATAATTAATGAATTCAAGCTTCAAAAATATTCAAGACGTCACTATGTTGTCTTTAGTGTAATAATCCCTCTAGCCATTTTTACTAAGTCTGGAGTGGCTACATTTACCTATAATTTTCACCGTAGTGTTGTGGTCAATATTCTCAAGGATTCCTACGATATTTTTCTACTCGTGGCACTGGGGATGAGAAAATATATCTAGGTATGGCAAAACCTCGAGTGAAATTTAGATGGAGAAATTCTTGGCAACCATCTTCGTCCCGTACCATAAATGAGACACTTGAGCGCGTTCTTATATCTCCATTTAGGGGAAAAATATTTGACGCACGAACCTTGAGCATCCGGGCCAGTGTGGTCAAACTTACGAGGTGTGTGTGTGTGTGTGTGTGTGTGTGTGTGTGTGTGTGTGTGGTGCATGTGTGTGGTGCATATGTGTGTTTGTGTCCATATACACACACACACACACACACACACTTCCTTTTGTTTGTTTTACCTTCGATCGGCTACACTTGTTGAGCTGCTGTCATGACCATTTTTTGCGTGAGAGTAAATTGTTTATAAAAGTACCATTAGTGTGTGGTTGTATTCCGTGCCAGTTAAACAGCTGATCCAACATGCCTTATAAACTACCAAGATGTTTTTTTTTTATTTGTATTCCCCTGATATCTAGTCGCTGGTCAACCGCGGGTAAAGTTCCCTCGATATGTCAGGATTTTCTATTAGTTTAGCCAGATTTCACAAGCTACGCGCCAGAATTTTTATTGCCTAACTTCAAAATTGCGTTACAGTTAACTGACATTGGGACCGTGAGGGATGTACCGCGCAATATTGACACGGGAGAAAATTCTATCAGGAAATTCATAAATGTTGATAAAGAATATTGTTAATATAGTTTTTTATTCATTTTAGTTTTTGTTACAGCGAGAAATATTAATATTTTGAGCTAGTTTATGTAAGAATGCTTACAAACGCGTACAGTAATACTGACACGTGGGAAAATTATATCTTGTAATTCGTAAGCGCTAGTAAAGAATTCTGTGAATATAGTCTCTTGAAGCCAGAAATATTCAGACTTTGAGAGTTGGTACAAGAATTTGAATTTTCATAGATGTGTAATATTGAGAGAGAGAGAGAGAGAGAGAGAGAGAGAGAGAGAGAGAGAGAGAGAGAGAGAGAGAGAGAGTTTTTTGGGGGGCGTTAATCTAGTGTTTATAAAAAAAGATCTTAATGTGTATTTATGAAAACATTGTAAATATTCATGAAGAGTTCATAAGAATACTCTTCCCTGACGCTTGACCTTACGTGTGTTACCTTAATTACTTCTAAACAAAGCCTGTTGACTGTTGACTCAGGTAATTTATTCATTATTTACCGCTGTGGGTACACGCTATTGACCCGCTCTCATGGTCCACCCTCATGGTACCGCAGTCATGGTCCACCCTCATGGTACCGCAGTCATGGTCCACCCTTATGATCCACCATCATGGCCCAATCTCATGGTACACCCTCATAGCCCGCCCTCATAACACACCCTCATAGCACACCCTAAAGGCCCAACCCTCGTCTTCTATGAAACACCTTTACCATGACCTGTGGAGCGTGGACGACCTCCTCCACGTACCGACCATTAATTACCTGAACTTTTATTGATACAAACGTTATTCTTTTTCATCTTCTCCAATTATCAAGTTGTGAAATACTATCACCTGTCTGGCCAGCATATCGGTCATAGTAGTTTGTGTTGTGTTCTTTGGTTTATCCTTGAATGGAAAATGAGTGGAGTGTTGTGAACGAGTTGTAGAGAACACTGGAAGATGATAGACAATTTTTATTTTTATTTTAACATTCTCAAAATATTTCGTGGTGGATGGAACAAAGAAAATAATAATATTTATATATACGTATGAGGTGTGTGTGTGTGTGTGTGTGTGTGTGTGTGTGTGTGTGTGTATGTGTGTGTGTGTGTGTGTACATGTGTGTCTGTGTGTACGTGTGTGTGTACATGTGTGTCTGTGTGTACGTGTGTGTGTGTGTGTGTGTGTGTGTGTGTATATATATACTCTAAAAGCCATCTTGAGCTATTTTTACATATTTCAAGACACTTCAAGATAGAGAAGAAACGTAGAAATTATAATGCAACGTTGTTTACGGTAATTTCTGCTAAGGGTCTTGTGTACCAACACATTGTATATAATTATAATTATGAAAATATTTTAGTGATCCTGATATCTTTGGTCGCGTTTCGACCTTAATCACCGCCTATTCTGAGCTGAATGATTTTTTTTTTCTGGAGGGAGGAAGTTTTTTTTTAATCTCTCTATTCCGGTTGAACGAAGCTAAAATCTCAGTCCTTTGCTAATATTTTGCTTTTGCTTTCACTTTCATTAGAGAGGAGTAAAAGAGAGTAGACCTGAGAGCTATAAACATCTGACGTGAGCCAAGCATGATGGATACACCCCCTCCCCCCCCTGCAAGTTATATACGAGCAGGAGATGCGGGTTATACGGCAGAGAGAGAGAGAGAGAGAGAGAGAGAGAGAGGATGGAAGGAAGGATTGCATGAATAAAGGTGTTAAGTGAATAGAAGGAATGGGTGTATTACCTGATGAAGAGAGAAAGTAAGGAAGAAGAGTAGGTGCGAGGGAGATTTCAAAAAGAAAGGAAATGGGTGGAGTGGGAGGAAAGGGTAGAAGTGTGGGTGGAGTGGGAGGAAGAGGGTGGAAGTGTGGGTGGAGTGGGAGGGAGGGGTGGAAGTGTGGGTGGAGGGAGGAGAAGGTGGAAGTGTGGGTGGAGTGGGAGGGAGAGGGTGGAAGTGTGGGTGGAGCAGGAGGGGAGAGGGTGGAAGTGTGGGTGGAGTGGGAGGGAGAGGGTGGAAGTGTGGGTGGAGTAGGAGGGAGAGGGTGGAAGTGTGGGTGGAGGAGGGAGGGGGTGGAAGTGTGGGTGGAAGTGAAGGGGAGTTAATTGGTAAGGGGATGGATGGGATAAGGTGGATGTTGGGGTTAAGGTGAAGGGGTGTTTTAGAGGAGGGGGGATGTTTTGGAGGGAGGGAGGGATGTTTGGAGGAGGTAGGGGATGTTTTGGAGGAGGAGGGATGTTTTGGAGGGAGGGAGGGGCGTGTGGGAGGGAGAGGAAGCTGTGACAGACATTACAGGAAGGATTTGAGTGAGATAGATGATATGGGGTTTTGGAGGGATGAAGTGGGGGGAAGGGGTGCTAGGTTTTGAAGGGAGAGGAAATGGAGAAAGTAAGGCAGGTGTTGCAGAGGAAGCGAAAGTAGGGGGTGATCTGGGTGTTGCTGTGAGGGATTTGGGAGGGGGGGGTGGGGAGGGGGTGATGAGGGAGGAGGGACGTTAGTCAGGTGGTGGGAAGGAGGGTTAGGAGGTAGGGAGGAGGGGGGCGGAGGAGAGGAGGGTTGGTGATACGTTCGGAAAGAGGGGGGAAGGGAAGGAGGGTTTGGGAAGGAAGGGAAGGAAGAAAGGAAGGAAGGGAGGGAGGGAAGGATATGAGAATAATCAATCAAAACAACAGTGCAAATTACCTTTTCCTTCAATTTCATTTTCCTAATTACGCTCTTTTACAGATCTCCTCAAGTATTCATTACGTGAATTATACTGAGGAGAAATTCTGTTACATTAACATCCAGTTGTTTTACGGAACCCACCAGAACCAAAGAACGCAACGCGAATATAAACAATTGTGTTTTTCCGCGTCGGACTTATGGCGGGAATTTATCATAAGCAAAACAACTTTATTTACGCGTCGTTCTTATAATGATTTATTTTTTTATGCGTCGTACTTATTTTAGGACTTTTTGATCTGACGCATCGTATATATTATATTAACACCAAATTGTCTGCGTATATGAGTGACTAACTGGTAAAGTCTTTCTCTCTGAGTTTTTTTTCTCTCAAATACTTCTTGATATATTATGAGCTGCCAGACGTACGATCAGCTCAGCACCAACGCCGCTGTGATCAATACTTCGTTATTCTTCTTTGATGTTTTTTCAACGCAAGTAGCTAAAACCAGTGAGACCGTCCACACAACTCGACCTTTCTCCTAGTTCTAGCCACGGATTATGAAGGTTCGTACGTATCAAACTAACTCACCCAAATGATCGTACGTTCAAATTTCCCTCCTAACTGAAAATGAGAGAACGTTATTCCGACACGTTCTCACATCTCCAAAGAAGTGATACCAATCTCCGAGAAGCCATCGTAGCTTCAGTGAGCCAGTTTAACGTTCTCGTATGTCCAGTTAGAAGGGAGAATAGAACATAAGAACCCCTGTGAATCGAGGCACTAGCTGACGTCAAGGAATCAGTCGTAAGTGTCAGTCCGTCAGCGTCGTCAGTCCGTCAGCGTCGTACTCCTTCAGTCACTCAATCAATCCTCTCGGTCTTAAATGCCACACCAAAGACGACTTCACTTGACGGGGGGAGAGAGCGGTGGAATTGAGGGAGGTGGAGGTAGGAGGTAATTGAGGGAAGGTGGTGGGGGGTAAGGAGGTAATTGAGGCGAGGAGGTTGGGGTAGAGAGTAATTGATGGAGGTGATGGGAGTAGGGGGTAAAGGGGGTAGGAGGTAATTGAGGGAGAGAAGGAGGTAGGGAGTAACTGAGGGAGGTGGTGGGGGTAGGGAGTGATTGAGGGTGAAGGTGGGGGTAGGTGGTATTTGAGGGAGCAAAAAGAGGTAGGGGGTAATTGTGGGGGGGAAGGGAAAAGGGTCATTGAGGGAGGGGAGTGGGAGGCAGGGGGAATGGTCGTAGGGAGGAGAGCTAAAAGGAAAATACTCGATCTATTTACCTGCATATACGGTACAGTAACATCTATATTCTCTCATGCTGTTGCATACTCCATCGATGTTGTTGCAAAATTTGTCAATGTTGTTGCATTCTTGTGCATGCGGTTGCATATCAGTCGCTGCCCTTGCATACTTTAGTCTTTATTGTTGCATACTCCATCTGGAATGTTGCATTCTCTGCTGCAGTATAACAATTTCAATATATTTTGCTACATACGCCATCTGCATTGCTGAATAATTTATATATTAATGTTGCATCCTCATTCTCTATTGGTAGATCATACATTTATGTTGCAGTACACTCCATCTATATTGCAACACTCTCAATCTATATTGCAGCACCTCCCATCTATATTGCAGCATGCAGCACCTCCCATCTATATTGCAGCACCCTCAATCTATATTGCAGCACCCTCCATCTATATTGCAGCACCCTCCATCTATATTGCAGCACCCTCCATCTATATTGCAGCACCCTCCATCTATATTGCAACACCCTCAATCTATATTGCAGCATCCTCCATCTAAATTGCAGCACCCTCAACCTATATTGCAGCATCCTCCATCTATATTGCAGCACCCTCAACCTATATTGCAGCACCCTCCATCTATATTGCAGCACCCTCCATCTATATTGCAACACCCTCAATCTATATTGCAGCATCCTCCATCTATATTGCAGCACCCTCAACCTATATTGCAGCATCCTCCATCTATATTGCAGCACCCTCCATCTATATTGCAGCACCCTCAATCTATATTGCAGCACCGTCCATCTATATTGCAACACCATCCATCTATATTGCAGCATCATCCATCTATACTGCAGCACCTACCCCGTATTTAACCACATATTTCCAACCGCAGTGCCACAGACACCGCCTATATTGTCACAAACCTCTATCCACACAACCTGACCCAGCCACACACTGCCAAGCTCTCTCTCTCTCTCTCTCTCTCTCTCTCTCTCTCTCTCTCAGTTATAATGTAGACACTCACACCAGCTATTTAAGGCTCGTTTAAGGCTCGTTTAAGGCTCGTTCATGCTCGCTCTGTTTGTCTTCAACGTGCCAAGTTACACTAACGCCGGAGCACCTCAGGACCGTACTTTACATGATGCTTGACTGCTAAATCTCCGCGGTGAAATCTTCATTAACCTCTCCTTACTCCTTTATACCTCCACTACAACCTCTACCTCACTCCTTTATACCTCCATCACAACCACTCCTCACTCCTTTATACCTCCATCACAACCTCTACCTCACTCCTTTATACCTCCACCACAACCTCTACCTTTCTCCTTTATACCTCCACCACAACCTCTACTTCACTCCGTTATACCTCCATCACAACCTCTCCTTACTCCTTTATACCTCCACCACAACCTCTACCTCACTCCTTTATACCTCCACCACAACCTCTCCTCACTCCTTTATACCTCCACCACAACCTCTCCTCTCCTTATACCTCCACTAACACCTCCACTACAACTTCTCTCACTTACACCTTCAATAACATCATCTCCTCTCGTGTTCCTCCCGCTGCTTATCCTCCCTTCCCCCCACTACCCCCCCCATCCCTGTCTCGTCAACCTCCGACGAATCTCTCATTGTCCTCAACTTTGATATTTGTGAATGGTTGAGGTGTCTCTCTCTCTCTCTTTTAGTTCCTCCTCTCCCAACCCCCCAACCCCTCCTCTCCCACCCATCCCTACTCTCCTGCCCCTCCCCACCCCTCTCTCTTCTTGCGCGTTCCCCCTTCTCTCTTTGCCCCACCCATCTTCCCTCCAGCTCTCTCGGCCACTCTTTACCTTCCTTGTTCTTTTTTTTCTCTCTCTTCCCCTTCATTCTTTCTTCTCTTGCTCTTTTTCTTATCCTTCTAATACTTTTCCTCTCAATTAAATGCTCTCCTCTTTCTCTATCCCGCTCTTTAATCCCCGTCTCCTCTCTTACCTACCCCACCTCACCCTATCCCCAACAGCCCCGCCCCATTCTCTACCTGTCCCACCACATCTCTGAAGGCCTCACCCCGTTCTCTCATTTCTCCATCGTTTTCTTTTTCTTGTCCTGTCCGTTCTTTCTTTCTTTCATTGTTCTTTCATCTCTCACTGTATCACACTAACTCACTCACTCACCCAAACACATCACCTGCCTACTCTCTCTCTCTCTCTCTCTCTCTCTCTCTCTCTCTCTCTCTCTCTTCTCTCACCTGTTCCCTTATACCACCTTACTGTTTACCCGGTGGTGTTGGTGTGTGGTGTGATGACCCCCACTTTCTCACGCTCTCCCTGACTGATGCCTCGTTCACACGCATGGTGCTCTCTCTCTCTCTTTCTCTCTCTCTGTGGTTTTTAATATCCATTTTCTCTCTCTGCCTCTCTTTCTTTAACTCTCTCTTCTCTGACCCCTCTCTAGCTCTCTTTTATCTACACTTCTCGCACTAGTTCTTTTTCCAGGTGCTTTCTTTGACTTTCCTGAGGCGTCAGATGGCTATGATATAAACATTCTAAATACAAAAATAATGATGGTACTATAATATAACCTTCAAGTCTTCAGTTACGTAACACCATCATAATACGGGGAACACTCACATCTGCTCTGTCCGCTTCGGGGTGTCGCCAGCAATTAGGACAATGATATATATAAATAGTTGGAGTAAATATAGTTAAATACTCAAAAATCATTTGTTGATGCTAATATAATTTAAATTAATATAAATCAATGTACAGTCGACAAAAGTTTGCTCCCGTGGTGAAACTGAGTCACGGGAATGAGTCTCCGAGCTGACTTCCCAGACTGTTTCATCTTATGGTTGATGCTGCTTCATTTTGGGCGGGAGCAAACTTTTGACCCCGACTCTACGTCAAAATTGGTCTATTTATGCTATATAATAAATATATAGAGCAATACACGACAAAAAATGTATATTGTATATTCGCTGCAATGTTGCTTCACTCTCTCTCTTTTACAGATACTTTAACGGGCAATGTTCGGTGGATTCGGCATCCTGTGTACCGCCGGCAAGGCCGTGAGCTCGTAACACTCGTCTTGCCCGCGGTGCCCACCATTTCTCTGTGGATGTCGGTCACATTAGAATAACCCGTTATAGTACATTCTTCTTTCCACACACAGCCAAACTGTGGAATCCTCTGCCTTCTTCTGTGTTTCCACACGAACACAATCTGTCTCACTTTAAAAAGCTGGTTTTCCGGCATCTTCGTGGTGTAGATTAATACTACCTTTTCCTTTTCTATTTTTAATTTCTCTATTCTTCTCCCCCCCCCCTCCCCAGGCCCCGTTGTGGGTCGATGACCTGTGCCCGGGTGGACCAATCCCCGTAAAAAAAAAAATGTATAGTTTGAGGAAATATAACGCAATATACCTAAAAAATCGAGTTAATCATATAGATATTTAACAAATATAGAACACTATAACCTCAAAGTCATCAGGTGAACAAAATTGTCGTTAGCTACATATGAGTATTGTCCTGGTACAAGCAAGCACCTAATGCCTCGACTGCAGGGTGTAATGTACTGTAAGAATATTCACGTCCACATAAAAATTAGTTTCATAATTCTGGTGTGTGTGAATCTGCCAGTGTAGAAAACAATAAACATATTATCTCTTCTGGCTGTATGGTGTATACTACTCGACTCTTGTTTCCATAATGTATAATACAGTGAGCGGTGTATTTCTTTGTTTACACGGTGTATGACATAGTATTTTCCCTGGTTTTCGGGAGACTTAAGTCGACTCTTCTTTCCTGATATGTCTCGTTGTTTACATTGGAATAACTCTGGCGTGTTCTCCCTTGTTTACACGGTTCTATAACACTGCATAAGGTATATTATTTGTCGTTTTCATTAAATTTACTCTCGCCTTTTCTCTCAACGGTGCAGAAAATAAGTTTTTAGGGGGATCGTTTTCTGTGAAGTAACTCGCGTTTTCTTCGTTGTTTTCATGGTATAGGACGTAAAAAAGATCTCTTGTCTTTTTCAGTGGACTAACTCTTGTCTTCTCTTTTCTTTCCAGGGTGTCGTCGGGCGTCAGAATGGCCATGTCCCCCCAGCAGTTCTGCCTCCGGTGGAACAACCACCAGTCCAACATCATCTCAGTATTCGAGCAGCTCCTCCAGAGTGAGTCCTTCGTCGACGTCACCCTCGCAGTTGAGGGCATGACGCTCAAGGCCCACAAGGTCGTCCTCTCGGCCTGCAGCCCTTACTTCCAGGTCAGTGAGATGTGAGGGCTGTGTAAGGAGTGAAGGGTGAGATAAAATGGGTGAGGGTGGGAGAAAAGGGGTAAGGGGTGCGTGAGGAGTGAAGGGTGAGAGAAAAGGGGTGAGGGGTGCATGAGGAGTGAAGGGTGATGGATGTGTGAGGAGTGAAGGGTGAGAGAAAAGGGGTGAGGGGTGCGTGAGGAGTGAAGGGTGAGAGAAAAGGGGTGAGGGGTGCATGAGGAGTGAAGGGTGAGAGAAAAGGGGGTGTGGGATGCGTGAGCAACGAAGAGAAGACTATAAGTGAAAAGTGAGTAAGAATTGTTGTATAAGTAATAGGTAAGGAGTGAGGGATGGAGGATGAGGGAAGAATCAGAGTGAGAAAGGGAGAGTTCAAAGATAAGAGGTGAGGAGGCAAACGAGGTGAATAGGCGGGTCAAACAGGTGGGTAGGTGGGTCAAACAGGTAGGCAGGTTCGATGAGACATGTGACAGGTGGGTTAGAGAGGTGGGTTAGATAAATGGACAGGTAAGTAAAGCAAAAAGAGAGGAAGATGGATAAGCAATTGAGGTTTATAATTAGGTGGAGGGCAGGCAAAAAAAACCCCAGGTAAATACAAAAAGCAATCAAGGGAAGCAAGAGAAGGGATATATAGGCACTGATAATAAAAAAGGAGAACAAGGGAAACACCAGAGGAGAAGAGGAATGATAGGAGAATAGAGTAATAATGATGAATAATATGGAAAGAGAGACAAACAGACAGAAGAGAGACAGACAGACAGACAGACAGAAGAAAGACAGACAGACAGACAGATAATTTAAGCGGATTAGCTGGAGATAGGGGGAGCGAGAGGGATGTTGTAATTATCAGGTAGCATTAGGCAATTAGCTGGGTCAGGTGAGGGGTAAGAGGATTGGCACACTCACGTCATAGTGCCAAAGGGGTGTTTTACGCCTATTAGGATCAGGGTGAGAATGATGAATGTAATGATGAATAAGTCTTAGAATGATGATGGAAGTGTGTTAGGATAATAAGTGTGTTATGGTGTAGGCTACAATAATGAGTGTATAAGAATGATGAGAGTAAGGATGATGAAATGTGACTTAGACTGATGATGGGAATGTATTAAGATATTGTGTGCGTGCGTGTGTGTGTGTGTGTGTGTGTGTGTGTGTGTGTGTGTGTGTGTGTGTGTGTGTGTCCAACCTCTGTGTATTATGACGACTAATTATCTGTGTCTGTTCAAGCATTCATCATACACACTAGACTTGTATGACGCACAGTGCATCATATTACACCTCCACCTTGACATTTACCTGCATTTAATTAGATCATTTATTATTAGTGTGACTGAACTTTCCACAGGTTTTTCCCAGACAGTGTTGAGTTAATGACATGATTATATTTATATTTACTTTGACGGAATTTCGTGGCCAGTATCTTAAGTTTCTCGTTGCCTTTTAATGAGGTGGTGAGGGGGGGGAGGTGTGAGGAGGAGGGGGTGGGGAGGGTGTGTGGAGGGTGTGAGGAGGGTGTGAGGAGGGTGTGAGGTGTGGGGAAGGTGTGAGGAGGATGGTGTGAGGATGTGAGGATGGTGTGAGGAAGGTGTGGGATGGTGTGAGGATGGTGTGAGGAGGAGGAGGGGGTGGAGGAGGAGGGAGGGGTGTGGGAGAGGGTGTGAGGAATGTGGGGAAGGTGTGGGGATGATGTGAGGATGGTGTGGGGATGGTGTGAGGATGTGAGGATGGTGTGGGGAGGGGGGAGGTGTGAGGGGAGGTGGGGGGAAGGGTGTGAGGAGGGTGTGAGGAAGGTGTGGGGATGGTGTGGGGAGGGAGGGGTGTGTGAGGAGGGGGGGAGGGTGTGAGGGAGGGTGTGAGGTGTGAGGAAGGTGTGAGGGATGGTGTGGGGAAGGTGTGAGGATGGTGTGGGATGGAGGGTGTGGGGAAGGTGTGGGGAAGGGGGGAGGTGTGGGGATGGTGGGGAAGGTGTGGGGATGGTGTGAGGATGGTGGGAGGGTGTGGGGGAGGGTGTGGGGAGGGTGTGTGTGGGGAGAGGGTGTGGGGAAGGTGTGAGGGATGGTGTGAGGAAGGTGTGAGGATGGTGTGGGGATGGTGTGGAGGGTGTGGGGGAGGGTGTGAGGAGAGGGTGGAGGGTGTGGGGAGGGTGTGGGGAAGGGTGTGAGGAGGGGGTGGGGGGGGGTGTGGGGAGGTGTGAGGAGGTGTGGGGAGGGTGTGGGGAAGGTGTGGGGATGGTGTGGGGAGGGTGTGGGGAAAGGTGTGAGGAGGGTGTGAGGAAGGGTGTGGTGTGGAGGGTGTGGGAAAGGTGTGAGGGATGGGTGGGGAAGGTGTGGGGAAGGTGTGAGGATGGTGTGAGGAAGGTGTGGGTGATGGTGTGAGGATGGTGTCAGATGGTGTGGGAAGGTGTGAGGATGGTGTGAGGGATGGTGTGGGGAAGGTGTGAGGATGGTGTGGGGAGGTGTGGGTGTGTGAGGATGGTGTGAGGGGGTGTGGGAGGTGTGAGAATGGTGTGAGGAAGGTGTGAGGATGGTGTGGGGATGGTGTGGGGAAGGTGTGAGGGTGTGGGGATGGTGTGGGGAGGTGGAAGGTGTGAGGGATGGTGTGAGGATGGTGTGAGGATGGTGTGGGGGAAGGTGTGTGAGGGTGGGTGTGGGGATGGTGTGAGGATGGTGTGGGGAAGGTGTGGGGAATGTGAGGAGGATGGTGTGAGGGATGGTGTGGGAGGGTGTGGGAAGGTGTGAGGATGGTGTGGGGAAAGGTGTGAGGAAGGTGTGAGGATGGTGTGAGGATGGTGTGGAGGTGGTGGGGGAAGGTGTGGGAGGAGGTGTGGAGGATGGTGTGAGGGAAGGTGTGGGGATGGTGTGGGGAAGGTGTGAGGATGGTGTGAGGAGGGTGTGAGGAGGGTGTGAGGGAGGGTGTGTGGGAGGTGTGAGGGAGGGTGTGGGGAGGGTGTGAGGGGTGTGTGTGAGGATGTGGGGATGGTGATGGTGTGAGGAGGGTGTAGGGAAGGTGTGGGGATGGTGTGAGGATGGTGTGAGGGTGTGGGAAGGTGTGAGGGGATGGTGTGAGGATGGTGTGGGGAAGGTGTGGGATGGTGGAGGAGGGTGTGGGGGCGTGGGGGAAGGTGTGAGGATGGTGTGGGAGGGTGGGGAAGGGGTGGAGGATGGTGGGGAAGGGTGAGGAAGGTGTGAGGATGGTGTGAGGATGGTGTGGGGAAGGTGTGGGATGGTGTGGGGAGGTGTGTGGGGGATGTGTGAGGAAGGTGTGAGGATGGTGTGGGGAAGGTGTGAGGAAAGTGTGGGGGAGGGGTGTGGGGAGGGTGTGGGGAAGGTGTGAGGATGGTGTGAGGGAGGTGTGAGGATGGTGTGTGAAGGTGTGGGGAAGGTGTGAGGAAGGTGTGAGGGAGGTGTGAGGATGATGTGGGGGAAGGTGTGAGGAGGGTGTGGGGAAGGTGTGTGGAAGGTGTGAGGATGGTGTGGGGAAGGTGTGAGGAGGGTGTGGGAAAGGTGTGAGGAAGGTGTGAGGATGGTGTGGGGAAGGTGTGAGGATGGTGTGGGGAGGGTGTAAGTAACTTGTCATGTCTTTTGTATTGAAAATATCATTGGATCATAAGTCAGGTTTTGCTTTGGATGAAGTTCATGAAAGATAAAAGTGTTGTGTATGTGACCTATACCCCGTGAGGAATATCAATAAATATACAGACTCTGACACACTATATATGTATGGCTGGAGAGATAACTAGATATAGTGATAGATACATGAACATTTCTATAATTGTCCTCAAGAGGAGGAGTCATTATAAGCTGTATATATCATGTGTGACGTGTGTGTTCCCCCCCGGCAGGCTGTGTTAGCGTCGCATCCAGACAAACACCCGATAGTGATCCTGAAGGATGTGCGCTACACCGACATGAGGGACCTGCTCGACTTCATGTACCGAGGCGAGGTGTCCGTCGACCAAGACAACCTCTCGGGCTTCCTACGTGTCGCTGAGTCGCTACGAATTAAAGGTCTCACCGAAGTCAACGAGAAGAAGCGACTGGAGAATACCACCTCAGCGTCTTCAGCCTACCTCGTGCCTCAGGCCATGGCCGGGGCGGCTCCCCCAGGGGTGGCGCCTGGAGTGGTACCTATGGCGCCCCTCACACCCCTCGCCGGCGACCCCCCACCTCTCAAGAGGCCGCCACTCTCGCCCTCAGCCACCTACGGCGCCAAGAGAAGGCGCGGCCGACCGCCCAAGATCTCCGGGGAGGAGTCGGAGGGCGAGGTGGGGTCGGTGGCTGGGTCGTTGTCTGCGGCGGAGGGGGAGGACACTCGTAGTGAGGCAGAGGTTAAAGTGGAGGTTGAGGAGGCCAAAGAATGCCAAGAGCCCGATGACCTGAGCAAGGAGGCAGACACCAAGGTAGGTCACAACCCTTTCTTTCATTAATACTGTATATGGTAAACTTAGGCACTTATATACTGTATATATATATATATATATATATATATATATATATATATATATATATATATATATATATATATATATATATATATATATATATATATATATATAAAATTAGTGTTTATCCAGTATTTGTACACAAGCTTCGGTCCTGGATGACAGCTGTTGTACTCGAGTATAATAGTGTTGGTCTCAGGTAGTCTTCTATATTAACCCTTTGAGGACGATGGTATAACGATGATAGGAGAGCACCATTACAACAAGCTAATTATCATACAAGTGATGTCGACTTTGCTTCGAATGAAAACTTAAGCAATATACTGACATACAATTTATCATTCAGTAAAACAAACACATTGTCATATTTCAAGTCCCAGAGTATTTTAGCTCCTTATCATTCACTAATAAACACTCCTTTTCTCTCCTCTCCTCCTCCCCAGGTGTTTTTAACCACCGGCCTTCCCTGGTGTGACTTCTATTCCCTAATGCCCGTTATATATTCTTGCCACACACCCCGTTATATGTTTTGTTGTGTCGGCATACTCGTATATATCACACCCAACCACGAATCAATGACAAGATTCTAACAGGCTCGTACATATTTATTTTTTTCCCTAACTACCAAATGTATCAAACTAAAATACGAGAAAAGATTGGACCAATACGGTCAGACACCGGTGAGCTCACTGATGACGACGGAGAAATGAGCAATAATTTGAATAAATATTTTTCAACAGTTTTCACCACCGAAAATTTAAACATAATACCCGAGGCACCGACTATATTCAGAGATAGTGAAGAAAACAAATTAAGCGAGATAGTAGTGACTAGTAACGATGTTAGTAAGCAAATAGACAAACTAAAGCCTAATAAGTCACCTGGTCCCGATGAGATATTTGCCAGAGTATTAAAGGAATGTAAGAAAGAGCTTAGTATGCCCTTAGCAAAGTTGTTTAACATGTCCTTAAAAACAGGTGTAGTACCAGAATCCTGGAGGATAGCGAATGTAATACCGATTTTCAAGAAGGGGGATAGATCACTATCCTCTAACTACCGCCCAATCAGTCTGACATCAATAGTAGGCAAATTACTGGAAGCAATCATTTCAAACTCTATTCGAAATCACCTGGAGAAGCACCGATTGATCAATGATTCCCAGCATGGCTTCACAAGCGGACGTTCATGTCTAACTAATCTATTAACATTCTTTTCATCAGTTTTCGAATCGGTGGACGAGGGGCACAATTATGATGTGGTATATCTCGACTTTAGCAAAGCCTTCGACAGAGTCCCCCACGAAAGACTAATTAGAAAGGTAGAAGCACATGGCATCAAAGGTAATATCCTTAAATGGATTAGGGCGTGGTTACAGGACAGGAAACAGCGAGTGAGCATTAGTGGCACTAAGTCCCATTGGAGCAACGTCACAAGTGGAGTTCCCCAAGGCTCAGTACTTGGACCATTATTATTTATTATATACATAAACGACATAGATATCGGCAAAGACAGCAACATAAGCAAATTTGCTGATGACACAAAAATAGGACGTGTTATTAAATCTGACGAGGACTCCACAAAACTACAGGAAGATCTAAACAAATTTTTCGAATGGTCTGAAAAATGGCAGATGAAATTCAACGTGGACAAATGTAAAGTACTCAGTATAGGAGATGTAAACAGGGAAACCAGATACCAGATGAACAACGATGCCATAGAGAAATCCGACTGCGAGAGAGATTTAGGAGTAATGATAAGTAGGAACCTTAAGCCAAGTAAACAATGTGTTTTTGCTCGTAACAAGGCTAATAAAGTACTTGGGTTCATACAAAGGAGTGTTAGTTACAAGACTAGCGAGGTCATCCTAAAACTGTATCTTGCTCTTGTGAGACCACACCTGGATTACGTAGTTCAGTTCTGGTCACCGTATTACAGAATGGATATAGAATCATTGGAAAGAATTCAGAGGAGAATGACAAGACTAATCCCGGGCATTAGGAACCTTGAGTATAGAGACAGGTTAAAGCATCTTAATTTGCACTCCCTCGAGAGACGTAGAGCGAGGGGCGACCTGATAGAGGTGCATAAGTGGAAGTCAGGGCTAAACAAAGGGGACATTACAAAGGTACTCAAACTATCCAACCAGGAGCAAACTCGTAACAATGGGGGTTGGGTGTAAACGGGACTGCCCAGTATGGGCCAATAGGCCCGCTGCAGTTTCCTCCATTCTTATGTTCTTATGTTCTTACTAGAGCTGTGCTATCGTATCTTATTAGCTGTCTTAGGTTACAAGACAAATTAAGCTGTGAAAATAGCATCGAAATTTCACTGAGACTCTTAAGTGTGTTTTATCATTATCAATTAAGGGAGAAATCACTTAACTCAGGAATCTCTGATACTCTGAGAATTAACGATTAAAATTCAATTACCCCCTGTTTTCGCCTTGTTTTTCTCAAGATATTACGACAACGATTCATTTAGTTCTGTTTTCTGGTGAATTTACCGTGTTTATTAATATCGAGAGTCGGAAAAGATCGAGTAAATTATTGACTATTGGATCATATAAGACTGTTGAGTAAGTGTATGTCGTGTATGACGTTTCGGTGTGAAATACAGGTTATACTGCCAAGACCTACCACCCTAACATCTTCTCCCAATTGTCAAATATCACTGGTCAGGTTCTGTTAAGTGAGGTGAGGTGAGATTAGAATAAGTCTGCCACCCATGATACGAGTCTGTTATCTATTACTCTGGTCTGCCATCTACTTCACCGCCAAACATACACTACTGCCCCCTTACTCCCCCCCCCTCTCAGTCTGTGTTTACGGCTGGCAGTTCCTCGTGAGGCATCGATTACTTTCGCCCGCACACTGCCTACACCTGTGTACCTGTGTACGTGTGTCTGTGTGTTTCACATCTGCCTGTAAGGGAGTGGGGGGTGGTAGGATGGGGCACTAGTGTGACCTTATATGACCAGCCTGAAGGTGTAGTACTTCTTGACGTCACAGGAGATGGCGGTACACACACACTCTCTCTCTCTCTCTCTCTCTCTCTCTCTCTCTCCTGCATACAAGCAATTCTTTTAGCGGATCTCCACAACATAGGTCGATACACTGCCTTGCCTAGCCTTCGTCAATATTGTACACAGGCAGAAGTAAAGCTAGGCTGAACCACTGCCTTGTGTACCGAGGGGGCGGGAGGGGAAGCAAGATAACTGGTAAGGGGTTTACTGAGGGGAGAGGGGAAAGGGAGAGAGAGGTGAGAGGTTTACTGAGGGGAGAGGGGGGAGGGAGAGAGGTAAGAGGCGAAGGAGCAGCGAAAGGGGAGAAGAGGAGGGACGTGTAAAGGGAGAAGGGGGTATTGATAGAGGAAGGAGGGGAAGAAAGAGGCGGGAAGTAAGAAGGAAATAGAAATAGAGCGATTTGTTAGTTAGTCTATGAAAGGAAGAGGGAAAAGCATACGAAAACAAAGAGAGAGAGAGAGAGAGAATGTGTGTGTGTGTGTGTGTGTGTGTGTGTGTGTGTGTTAGGGGAAGAAGGGTTTTCCTCCAGTTGTAGGTCTTCCAGTAGGGAGGGTGTGTGTGTGTGTGTGTAAACTCTACAGTAGTCACCTCGTGAATGACATGTACCAGTCTCACACGACTTGGCCCAGCCAATGTTACATATGTAGCAAACGTATATGGAAACAATTGTGCATAAATACATATGTTAATACATTCACATTCATCTACATACATGTGCACATATAAGGCGTGATACATATACATAGATACGCATATAACATGGATGATTACATGAATAAACCAAAAAAATAAGCATTACTAATTCTCCCCGTACATTTCCGAGTCAAGAAAGACGACAAACAACAATTAAGAAATAGTCAGAGAAAACGTAATACACAATAAAAACCAAGTTGTCCCCAGCACAGCAACAAAGTCTGGCAGTAACTCTGGTCATTACAGGTAAAAAGTGATGATTATATCGACAACGTGTGAAATCTGCTTCTCCTATATTTATATTCTGTTTGGTTAAATGTCATTGTGATTTGTTCAAGTTATAATATTAACAATTCCTGGGCGGAGGGACGCAACGACATCCGCACAAACGGTGGTAAAAACGAACTGAAAACGAAACGAAATCTGATGAACTATAATATTTTTCCGAATAAAATTCTCATTATTATAAGTTATTTCTTCTATAAGTCATACTATTAATATTTCCTTGTAACAGTGACATCCGAAGTATTATAAATTGTGTCTGTTACTGGAGTTCTACATTTAGTTATTGCAGTAACGTGAATAACGCATGGACGAGCATTACGTCACACCTGTTGAATAAAACGCTACGCTTACATTGAATATTATGAAAGAGTCAGTCAGTTGTGAATTATAGATGGTGTGGTCAGTGTACAGGAGGGCAGTAACAGTACCTTAATAAACTCCTTTTCTCTGTATTTATCTAATTTTAGTTCACATTTTTTTTATCGACTACTTAAAAAAATAATTTATTATTGTATTTTTCTCTTTTCTCTTTTCCTTCGTTTTCTTTCTGTGTTCTTTTATTTTCTACCTTTTCGGGGGTTTGTTTATTTGTTTATTTTTCATATATAAATTATTACTTATTCATTGTTATTCCCGTTAATGTTTTTTCTCCCATTATTCCCTTTCATTTCTTTTCATTTTTTCCTTCCATATGTCTCATTTCCTCAATTTTTTCTTCGATTATCTCCATCTATTTCGCTCTCATAGTTTTACATTCTTCTTCTTTCATCCTTCAGTGAGAGTGAGTGCTGGTAATTAACCCAGGCTGTATTCTCACTACCACGATGCGTCATTCAGCTCTCAAGATCATTCATTTACGAGGTAGACGTGCATGATAGTGCATTAATACTTGACACGTGTTATAACTATCTCTCTCTCTCTCTCTCTCTCTCTCTTCGGTATCTGTTGCTGTGTATTC